AAACAAATCTGCATTATTGCCCCGAGCTCTGCTGTCTGCCCGTTTGTGTCCCCCCCCAGTTTCAAATTAGTTTATTATTATTTTTTAACCTCAAGCCGTTATCATCACGGAGGAGAAGGACACACAGAGCCTGCCCAGGTGGACGCGCGCAAACGCAACAACGAACGTAGCGTGCGCATTCTAAAAATAGCTCAAAGATGGTGAGCAGGTACCGCGGTTTTTGAACTACAGTATTGAATTTGACAGAAAACAACAATGAAACGCCAGCATACTCTAATGAGTTGGGTGAAAAAAAAGACAGGAGATGTGAGTTGGTTTATTCAGTAAATTAGCTCAGGATAATTGGATGTTCTGTCTACACCTGTTGATGTGAGGCTAATGCAGGATTTGCTAGCTTGATGCTACCGCCATTTAGCGGCAGTGACTCAACAAATTGCCTCTTAAAATGTATCGTCAGCATTAAACAAGCAGACTGCTTGTTTAATGTTAGACTCACACCAATTTTTTTTTGGTTTTATGTGTAAAATGTGGAGATGGGAGCAGTTTGTCTAAAGTGTACTTCTCTCTGTTCTGAAGAAAGTTCCGGAAAGATTTAACATGGGAATCAATTGGGAGCTAGATGGACTTTTTGTCTCTTCATGCCCTCAAGAGGCATTTTGTTTAATATTTCTTCTTAATTTTTTTTAATTTTCCAACCTAGGAGAGGTTTTCCTACGTTTTTCATGAAAAAATATGTCTGAGGAGTGTAGGGTTTGGGAATTATGGCAAGTTTAAAACATTTTTTGGGGAGCACTGCTGCACTCTGTTTTGAGATCAAAGCACTCTAGACTTAACGAGCTGCTCCATCCACACTAATGTTAAAATCTGAAGAAAGCCTCTTTACCAAGCTCCAAACAAAGTTAATTATCTCAAAAAGTGTAAAAGATATCAAAAATAAAAATCAATTTTGAATAGCTGAAGGTCTTGTGATCATTTGAAAGTTGGAATGAAGTGTCTAGCTGAAATTATGAGTATAATGTATAATTATGTGTGCGAATGCTGTGGCACAGCATTCGCACTAATTAGGCTGAAGGAGTTAAATAAAGATATTACATGTAAGTAGTAGTGAAGGAATGTTTACAAACACCTGTGTGTGTAAACCCAGAGATCAAAGGTTACCATGGTGACGACATTATCAAAATACCTGTTTACGTCTGTCTGTCTGTCTGTCTGTCTGGCCCCGGCCCCACGGGAGCGCATACGGCAAAACGCATAGGATTAACGCAAACGCAATCGCCAAAAAGCTTCCGTCCACACGCAATATACACCGGATAGTGTCTTGCCACACGATACAGCTCCATTTAGATCCAACCGCTGGAAAAGCTGCAGTACATATGCCGAGCCTATACGTGGCGCTGTAACTTCCTCCACAAAAGCAGCAACTTCCTCCACAAAAGCAGCGAAGAAGAATGGTTGTCATGGCTGCACTTCTGTTTATTCTCCGCGGTGGGGGCCGAGGGAACCGGGCAGAGTTTTTCGCCGGTCAACGTGTGTTAAAGTTTAAATCTTCCGGACAAAATTATAAAAGTGCCGGTCAAAGGTCTTCTTTGTTATTTATTGAGCTTTAAAACAAATGAATAACGACTCTATATAATGATATATAATAATAAAATATACGGAGCCTCTCTTTTTCCTCTATTCTGACAGTGTCAGTGTCTGTCTCATGCAGCAGCTGATCCAGTAATGATGACTCGACAGTCAAAATAAACATATTTATAACTAGTTTAGTTTGAGAGGTAATTAAAATAGCTAAGGGTGATGATCTGACTTGAAGTGTGTGTTTTGCTCCCGCTGCATCACAGCGGGAGGAGCTGCGTGTCTCCGTCCTGTCAGATTAGACTTCACTCGCGTTTATGTCCATATCGAGATAAAGATAAATAATCTGAATTCAGTGTGCAGTGTACTTTTGCGGGGGTGAGCAGCAGAGGTGGGGGGAGGCAGGGCTATTGCGTCATCATTATCACAAAATGATCGTATAGAGGCGATCACACGGAGCCGTTGGACCCCCCCAGAGCGCTCCGTTCCCAGATCTATCCACCTTTGGACCCGTTGTCGTTTGCGGGGTCCGTTTCTATCGTTTCGTTACGGCCTCGTGTGGCAAAAAGGGCTATACGCAAGAGAAATATGCGGATACAACCCGTTTTCGTTCCCGTGGGGCCGGGGCCTGTGTCTCTGTCTGTCTGTGGGCATGTCTGCTCTGATTAGATGCTGCTTGTAGCTACAAAAACCAAGTATGTGTGTTGCTGAACTTAGCGGAGAAATGCTGAAAAGTGAAATGATTTGAATCAAAATTGTTACAGCTCAAATGCATTGCAGAGTAGGAAAAATAGTGAAGAAGCTTAATATTTAAAAGAAAAGGTTTCAAAAAGGTATAAACCACAACATTGTCCTGAAATAGCTGAATAAGTTAATAGTTGAATGGTTTCTGCAGCTGAAATTAGGCTGAAGGAGTTAAATATCAGATGTAAGTAGTATGAAGTCTCCATCAGACAGAAAAGAATAGGCTGAGACAGTCTGTTAAAGTCCAGTCTGTCAGTGTTGTTTCTGTTCCTGAGCACCTACTCATAACACCCAATCATAACACCTGTGTGTGTGTCCAGAGATCAAAGACAGCCAACTGCAGCACTGAGTACCATAAGAATGCATTGAGGAGTATATCTGACAATTTTGCCACCTGAGAGAGAGAGAGAGAGAGAGAGAGAGAGAGAGAGAGAGAGAGACTGACTGACTGACTGACTGACTGACTGACTGACTGACTGACTGAGAAATAAAGATATTAAATGTAAGTAGTAGTGAATGAATGTTTACAAACACCTGTGTGTGTAAACCCAGAGATGAAAGGTTACCATGGTGACGACTTATGACGATTTTCCAACTGCAGCACTGAGTCCCATTAAGAATGCATTGAGGATTATATCTGACAATTTTGCCACCTGTTCCAAAACTTCGGCTCCTATCAAAAAATGACCAGACCGTGAGCATCAGGGAACCCCTATGAACTGATATATGTTGTTTTTTTTAGTTTTGTGTGTAAAATGTGGAGATGGGAGCAGTTTGTCTAAAGTGTACTTCTCTCTGTTCTGAAGAAAGTTCCGGAAAGATTTAACATGGGAATCAATTGGGAGCTAGCTGGACTTTTTGTCTCTTCATGCCCTCAAGAGGCATTTTGTTTAATATTTCTTCTTAATTTTTTTTTCATTTTCCAACCTAGGAGAGGTTTTCCTACGTTTTTCATGAAAAAATATGTCTGAGGAGTGTAGGGTTTGGGAATTATGGCAAGTTTAAAACATTTTTGGGGGAGAATTTGAAGAACTGCTGCACTCTGTTTTGAGATCAAAGCACTCTAGACTTAACGAGCTGCTCCATCCACACTAGTGTTAAAATCTGAAGAAAGCCTCT